ACAAGATAGTATGTCATCGGTAGAAACTATAATGAAGTGTTCAATTGCTATCATAATTTAAGCCAAATTTAGTTCACGAAGCCCTGTCAATTTGATCAAATTATATCATTCTGTGATGATGAAATTTATGTTATCTTGAAATTTTGTTGCAATTTTGGTACAAAGGTGTATATTTATGGATTATTAATGTTCTTTCAAAAACAAAACAATAATACATCTAATCTTCACCTTATAGTGTGTATTGAAATATATTTTGCTATATTTCTTCATAAACTATAATTTTAAATAGTAAATACACAAAACGTGTGCTCTATGAATAAAAATAGTATCCTCATATTTTTCATTGCTTGAACATATTGATTAGAAAATATTCAAATCACGGAATTTACCGTACTGATACGAAGATGTCCTTTCGTTTCTCGCGCATTCACCGCTTCATTGATTTCTGATGTAAACAAAACAGACAATTGCCGATAAACAGCTGATTAGAAAAAAAGAAAACAAACAAGGTGAGTAGTATGGTTGCGTGTGTGCAAGGAAGCAAACGCAAAGCATCACGGTTTAGTTATGGGCAAGGGTTTTGGTGCACTATAGTTTGTTTAATAACCCATCTAGCTGGACGTCTACGACTATAGATGAAATTATAATTGAAGGCAGCTATGAGCAATTTGAATTAATATGATCGCATCTTATTTCCTAAAAACCCAAGATACTTGCAACACAGCGAGGTCCCATATGATGTTCGCATGTGGGGTAGACAGTTTAATGTACTCGTATATGATGATTTATTCTTTGGAGTTGTTGTACACCACAGGCGGATCCAAAGGGGGGCGCCCCTCCCCTTGGTTGATTATATAGCCCCCCCCCCCCTTTATGAAAAGTTCTGGATCCGCCACTGTACACAGTGGCGCTCAGCAGTCATTGATAATTGATATATCAACAGCACTGAGAACTGCATTTGATATAGATAAATCCAATTCTAATTTGTTCACATTACAATGTATCAGGTCTTACAATAAGTATATTTCGTCGTGATGATAATTACTATTTGTTTGATTCACATGCTCGAGATAATCAAGGTTTCCCATTTTAAGATGGTGCTGCTATTTTGCTACATTTGTATAGGTATTTGTAATATGCGATATTGGCAGATGGAACTGACTATGTAAAGGCTCTAGTTTATGACTTGGATGCGTTAACAATGATGGTGGTTGATAAGGAAATCCAGATCCAGGATGTTATTCCAAAACCGAACAGGTATTTTACGTATATATATTAGAATTCATCCTCCTGAACAAAGTACCCATATATAATTACCATACACCTAATCGCTTCATGGAATTCTGTCCCAGCTGACCTGTGAATCTGTCCCGCTTCAACCATTGACATCATACAACAATCACTTTTCCATTGTGGCGTGAGATATTTTGTATTATGACGTCAAAATTTTACGTGAACCTTTGTGATGGCCAGTAATGGAAGACAAATAGCAATAAGTAGGATTCAAAGCACTCTTTAATAAATCAACTCTAATAAAATATTCTTATATATATAGATGATCACATGACATCATGAACATAGACGTCCCTTAACTAGTGCCGAAAATAAATTTTTCAAATGCATCTATTGAAAATAAATTATTGCATGCGTTTCATAAGTTCTGCTTTGGACATAACTGAATAGCAATGCCGAATATAATGGAAGCATACATTAAGTTAAATTTCTTTATTTTTTACATAGCATCTGACAGCATTGAATGATACGATATGAATCAGCAGATTTGTCGTTGTTTTAGAAGTTCAACGAGAAGTTATATATTTTATTTAGTTGGGTGGATAACATAACATTTATCTTGTCATTATACATATAAAAAAGAAGATGTGGTATGATTGCCAATGAGATCACTCTCCAAAAAAGACCAAAATGACACAGAAATAAACAACTATAGGTCACCTTACGGCCTTCAACAATGAGCAAAGCCCATACCGCATAGTCAGCTATAAAAGGCCCCGAAATAACAATGTAAAACAATTCGAACGAGAAAACCAACGGCGTAATCTATGTTTGCTCAGCATTCATCATGAAAACGATCACATTATAAATCATTTTAGGAAAGCACTGTGTAGGCAGACATTTCAGGAGGCAACAAGTCTGTAGGCTGACTGTACATGTATATTATCTCAACAAGTTCATTTCTTGTCAACTTCATAATTATTTCAAACATTTTAATAGATGTCACCCATATTTGGTCTATTTCATTTAGCTTAATATTCTTGCTTTTTCAAAGTCATGTTCATTTATTTTTCAACCGCGCCCAGAAATATGCGGTTACCTTTAATTTCAGAAACGGATTTTGGGAAAGGCGACCTGGGCTCCCTTTTTAAAACCTACATTTAATGTTAATGCAGACATTTTACTTGTTCAACACCAAACCTTGTCAAGTTTGGGGCCCCCGGGCACCCCTTCTTTCCATAATTCATCCTTCATCTACTTTTGAATTTGTTGCTTATTTGTTCTTTGGTCTATGAATATCTGTCTATATATTGACAATGAAACCACATTTTCATGGTCCCACAAAAATGTTGAAAATGTGTACATTTCATTTTTTTTTCTAGCTCCTCTCATATGATAGCAGTACCTTTCGGGTCACTATCTGTTTTGCGTCTAAATATTAATTGTAACACTTTATAGTGACTGAATAGGTAAAACAAATACTTCTCAAGAAATAGTAAAAGAAGACTACTTGGAACAGCACCAGACTATGTATGAATAAAAACTCAGATCGGAATAGCATGGATGATATATTTATACATCCTTGTGAATAAGCAAGGAAAGCTATTAATAATAGTGCATTTTTTAAAAGTTAATTGGGTTTTTCATTCATATTCTGTTTGAATTTTCACACAATCTGTCAAAAAGGCAAAACTAACTTTACTGAAACTTTCAAACAATGTGAGAAGTGAAACGTTTCATTCACCAAAACACTCTTGCAATTCTGCAAAAAAAAAAATCTTGCATGATTTTGTGAATGAAAGGGGAAAAAAGATCCTGAAACAGCGCACCCGTGCATGTCAATTGCGAACTGACCCAATAATTTATATATCACGACCAGTCAACTAATACTGACATTACCAGAGAGTACACATCAAAGGAAAAATGCACAAATTACCGATAGATTGTTATATATGATATTATAGAATTAAATATGTTTTACTACAAAAAAATGTGTTCTCAATCTTGTCGATAGATATAACAGAATGTCATATCAGTACCAAAGACAACTCTCCATCCAAGTCACAATTTGTAAAAGTAAACCATTATAGGTTGAAGTACGGTCTTCAACATGAAGCCTTGGTTCACACCAAACAGCAAGCTATATTGTATATAGTCAATATCAATCATGACAATAAACAAAAACAAATAAAACAACTATCGCTTACTAATAATCCTGACTATGTATTACATGAGCTGGTTGGCATCAGAAATGAAAATATAAATATTCCAACAAACAAAAGCATATGCTTACACATGCAACAAAATATAAAGCACTAAATGCTAATACCAATATGAAGCTCTCATCTATAGAACTTACAAAAACAATTGCAAGATTACAAACCACAACAAAATATTAAAAAATATAAGAAGCCAGCTGACAACATGCTCTAGGAAATTATTTGCAACTAATATTTCATTCCAAATCCATAACCACAAAACATCTTCTTACAGTAATACTACATCTGGAAATTAGTAATAACAACACTTAATCTGTACCTTCAAAACTAATTGCTTCTTCTAAGACAAAAGCCAGATGAGATATTCATCACTTCCAGTGCTCCAGCTAGAAATAGAAGGGGGCAGGGTGCCAGTGAAGGGCAGGGCACTTTTTTATGATAGGAAAAGGCACTCCTCATTTCTTTTGTCTACGTTTCTGTGTGTATTACGAGTTCACACTCTTTTTTTTACTGTATATGTTGTTGATAAAGATGCATAAGTTGTTGTTTTTATTATTTATTCTATAAAATTTGCATTAGAGAAGTCATTCATACTACATGTTCATAAAACATGGCAATACACATTCATACATCAGATCACTATTAACCAAAAGAAGCAAAATAAACTTACTATTCCCCCCCCCCCCCCCAAACCCTTTTTCCAAAAAAACAACATAAACTAAACATCTCATAGTTTAGCATACATGTGACAGAGTTGTCTTATTTCAAAATTTTCAGCTAGAGTTTGGCCCTCAAAACTTTTTTTCATTGTTTGTGTTTAGATATTATTTAGTATAGCTTCATCAAGTTGATTTGTCATGATAGTTTAACTACACACTACCCAATATTGTAGGTTTACAGCTTGACAACAGTTATTTCGATATATTTCTAACTTTACAATGTATAAAAAATGGATTGCCAAAAGTATGATTATCAAAAATAAATTGCAATATATTTGCTTTGGTATGTTCAAAGACTGTTAATATCCTTAAGGTAACTTCTTATATAATTTTGTATTCAACTGGTTATTTTTTCCTATTTTTAATACTAGATAATATTTTAGAAGACTTCTATACATATAAGATGTAATATTCTCATATTTGAATGGCCAACTATAGTAGTCAGAGGCGGATTTAGAGAGTTTTTCAGGGGACCTATAAAACCTATACCCACAAACCACCGATCTCAATATAAGCAGCTAAAATACGGCAAGCTTTTTAGAAAAGCTATCACTTGTATGCCTTACCACTCATACGGCCCGAATAGCCAAGCACACAATATAACAGTCTCCAGCAAGATTTATCTCCATTTTTGGTCAACATTGAATTACATCTAAAATACAGATTGGATATTGAAAACGGATGTAAATATTTATATATTACCTAGTTAGCTGAAGCTTATACGAAACTAATATTTGTTACCTTTTTTACATGTAAGGGTTTACTATGTAAGGTTTTACCGGAAATCAGAAGATAAGCTGAATTCCGGTGAGTTATATATATCATTCTGACTCAATAAATTGATAAAGGAGTGTAACACATAGGATGAAAATAACAAAATAAACGGAATACCAGTGTTATCATGACTTCGGTATACTTGGTCATATTGACACTTTTTTTGTATATTGGATGTCAGACTGCTGCTGAAGGTATGGATAACCAGATAAATGAACATTTTAAATATTTTCAAAGAATTTCAAATTCAATGACAAATTGCTTCATTTTAGCTTCATCGTTAACGATATATAAAAAGTTGTAGAGATTGTTATATATGTAAGCGGCAGTAAGTGAAATTAGGCATTGCGCTTTAATCCTAGGCAATAAGCTAACGCCTAAGCATTAAGTTACTGTCTAAAATTTTCAGGCATTAAGGTTCATCATAACAAATGGACAAACATGGCTGTATTTCCACATCAAAAACTACTCCGAGTACAGACTTACCTGTCCAGTTGGAAAAGTTTTAATGCCTGGCATCCACTAGATATATAAAAGTTAAATGCATTTTGTGTTTCAGAAAGATAAAATCTTTTTTGGATTTTGATGGGCATTTTTTTTCGTTCATGCAGAAGGTGTAAAAATAAACTAAGTTGGGATACAACTTTGAGATGTTCCCTCTCATGTAAAAACTGTATTGAATGAATGAATGAATCTTTATTGCAAAAGCATAAACATGCTATGGCAAAATTAACAACATATATTACATAATATAAAACATGAATAGACAGCAGAGAACAATAGTATAATACAATGACATATAAAGTTATGAGACTATATTAGATCGAATATTCCATGCAGCTTTTACATAATTACATAATTTGATCGTAAGAGACTTACTAGAAGCTTGTAGTATATTTAATAGTTTGCGATTATTAGGCCAAGAACAATAATACTTTGGTAAAAATTGTGTTCGTACAGATCTATAAGCTGGACAAACAAGAACAAAATGGTATTCATCTTCAATAACACACATTTTACAACATTCACATAAACGATTTTCTCTAGAAATATTATTATAACGACCAACTTCAATATTTAACTTTAATGTTCCACTACGTAACTTTGTTAGCAGACTAACATTATTGCTATAAGAAAGATATTTTTCAATATAAAAAGTTAATTTAAATCTACAATAAAAAGACAGTTTACTACATTCCTGAATAGATGTTGACCAATTCTGCAAGTATTGATCCTTAATACGAGTTTTAATATTATTTATACATATTGTGCTAGCATCTTGATTTAGCCATACATAATTTAACCCAAGATCATATAATATATCCCGTATATTTGAGGCCCAGTTTACATAACCATTGACAGCATCGTCATACAAGAGTTTATACACATCGTATACAACTTTTGGTTTATTTGTAATAATATGTAACCAATATTTCAATATTTTTTGTTTTCTAACAATAAAAAGAGGTAAATGGCCAAGTTCGCCATATAAAAAACATGTTGGTATATTTCGACCCAATTGTAACACAAATCTACAAAAACGGTTATGGATAAGTTCGATATCTTTAGCACGGTGGAAACCCCATATTTCTGATGCATAGCCTAAGACGGATCCGACCATACTGTCGAAAAGAAACATCTGTTCTTCTGAAGTGATAAAGAATTGTTTGAGAGAGTTCATTAGAGATGACATGGCTCTAGATCCTTGTTGTGCTAAACGTTTTTGAGTATGTAAAAACTTTCCGTTGTAATGTAATAATATACCAAGGTACACATATGAATTAACAACTTGCAGTTCCTTGTTATCATAGAAAAAATGAGTGTCTACTGGTCTAAATCCATTTCTAAATACCACTACTCTGGTTTTATCAGCGTTTACTTCAATATTCCATTTATTGCAGTAAAGTAAAAGTTTATCAAATAAGTGTTGCAGAACAGTCGGTGTTTTTCCAAATAAAACGGTGTCGTCAGCAAAAAGTATTAGATATATAAGAATTCCATTCAAAGATATGACATCTTCGTTTACATCAGTGGAGATATCTTGAATAATGTCATTTATAAAAAATAAGAAAAGTAAGGGAGATAAGGGTTCGCCTTGTTTTACACCAAGGTGGTTATCAAAAGCCTCTGATAGTACTCCACCAGACCGCACACGTAAACGCACAGATGAATAAATAGAATTTACCATTGATACGAATTTACTGCTAACTCCAGATTTGAGAAGTTTGTATATCAAAATTCTTCTGTCCACCTTATCAAACGCCCTTCGGAAGTCTACGAACCCACAGTATAACTTTGATTTATGCTGAAGAGTATGTGAAATAATTCCATGCAGAGTAAATATAGCGTCAACAGTCGAACGTCCTGGCTGGAATCCAAATTGGTTGTCTATTATATGATTTTCGTCCTGAGACCACGATAACAAACGGTCAGTTAGAATACTAGTGAACAACTTCGAAAGGATGCTTACTAATATTATAGGTCTATAATTAATCGGATTCGTAAGATCACCACTTTTAGGAACAGGAATAACTAAGCATTCAGTCCAATTTTCTGGATATATTCCGATAGCAAAGTTCGAGTTGAACAAAGTTTTTAAAATAGGTGCGAAAAATAAAGGACATGACGAAAACATCTCACCTACAATTTCATCGTTACCTGCACTTTTTCCGGATTTAAGTCTCTTTAGTGCTTTAATAACTTCGTCTTCGGAAATGTCTGTATCTAGTAAGTCTATATTTACACCATCAAAATAAGTGCTATTTAAAAGATCTACTACTGTATCAGATAGCTCGGGTGGGTTCATACCAAGAACATTTTCAAAATAATTAAACATTTCTTCGTTGTCCACTACACACTTTGATTTGTTTTTTGGCTTTAAGGTTGACCAAAATTTTTTTGGATTGGTTTTTGCAATACTACAAAGTTCAAGACCTTTTTTCCTCTTATAATTGTACTGGGCTTTTCGCTTCACTTTATTGTAAGAATTTCTAGCAATCACGTATTCACTCCTGTTTGCAGCCGTCTGGTGACGTATAAAAAAGTTTCTCGTGACATGAAATCTTTTTCGGGCGTTTTTGCAATTTTCATCAAACCATTCATTATTCGGACGATTTTGGCGATCTATGTTTTTATGAATAGAAACTGATTGTCCAAACACTTTGAAAGCGCTATCGTAAATAATACGAGTTATCTCCCTTACAGCGTTATGTATGTCGACATCTGATGTAATATTATTCACAACTGACAATAGTTTTTCTCTATGAGGTTGTAACATTTGTGCATATTCGTCATTTTTATTTGTTTCCCATTTAATGTAATTGCGTGTTGTAGTATTTGTTCTCTTTTGACATATAGTGGAAAAGTTAAGTTCAAAAAATAAAGGCATATGATCTGAGAACTCATTCATTTCTAGAACTTCAAAGTCACTAATGATACCATAATTGTTCGGAGACACAAGAAGATAATCGTTGACACTCGTCCCTTTACTATTACAAAACGTGAATTTACCATTCGTATCGCCACCGAGTCTACCGTTAGCTATAGTTAATCCCGTGTTGTAGCACACCTGTAATAATTTACGTCCAAAGTTGAAACCCTTGAAAAGTCATATGCTGAAATAGTAACATCAAAGTGTGATAAAACAGTTCAAAAACAGAATCTGAATATTATTGTAAAAAATCTTCCTGTAGAACATCGTGAAAATACAGACAAAACCTTCTTGAAATCTAAAGTGACAGCCTTAATAAAAGATGGTTTGAAGCTAGCTAATGTTTCTGTTAAAGATGTTGTCAGAAAACAAACTTATACAGGCAGTAATAAACCAGGTATCGTAGTCATTGGAATTGAAAGTCTTGAACAAAAGAAATTGGTTTTAAAATCAAAGAAGGTGTTAATGAATTCTTCTAAGTATTCAAGAGTGTACATTGAAAACGATATCCCTTATGAACAAAGAATCAATAACATTAACAACCGTACAATTTTGAGAGCCCTGGGCAAAGATAATGATTTTGTTGTTAAATCTGGTCGTATTGTTAAAAAACAGTATAATAACACGTCAATCAATAATGTAAACACTACACAACGGACAGAGGATCAAATGAAAGCCCGTAAGCAAAATAGAAACGATATTGATTCACACTCGAAAAACGGCAAAGCGTACGAAAATTCTTCGGATGGATGGCGAAGATACTCCGGAAATAATAGGCGTGGTAGAGGCAGAGGAGGTGCCGGCAAACCACGTAACGGATAGGTCAAATGTGGGTTTTGGAACATAAACGGCTGGAGTAAAAATCCGAACAGTGACAAAAATAGTTTACTAGCTTCGTGTTTAAAGAATCGAGGTCTGCATATAATTGGTCTTGCGGAAACCCATCTTGTTGGAGAAAATATTATAAATATTGATGGTTATAAATGGTACGGAAATAATCGAAAACTAATCCACGTACGTGCTCGAACTGGATCCGGTGGGGTAGGATTATTAGTGAAAAACGATATGCATTCACAGTTCAATGTAGTGAAAGTGGACGCATCAACAGACGGAATTTTATGGGTACAATTTTCTGAAATTAACAACCAAGATAATTGCTTTTTTGTATGTGTGGTTTATCTGCCGCCGGAACACTCTACGCGTTCGGTCAACATCCATGATTTCTTTGATACGCTTATGTCCAAAATATATACAATTCCAAATGGTAGTCCTTTTTATTTATGCGGTGATTGGAATAGTCGAGTCTCCGACATTGAAGATTATATACAAGGAATTGACTTATTACCAGAACGTAATGTTGTAGATTTTACACCTAATAGTTACGGCGACTTGTTTTGTGAATTTTTGAGCAATATTAATTGTTGTATTTTAAATGGTCGAAATTTTATCAACAATGACTTTACGTTTGTGTCAAGCAGAGGATCATCGGTCGTTGACTATTGCGTAGTACCTTATGAGAAACTGTCATTTTTTCAAAACTTTGAAGTCATTCGAGCAAGAACTCTAATTGAAGAAAATGCAGCCGTAGGCTCTTATGACCGGATCATTCTTTGTTATGCTGGACATTTGTCACACCTGGTTATGATGTTCAACAAACCGTGTCCGATCAATTGACAGATAACGGTACTGTAAGACTAGTTAAATACGACACACGGAGTATTCCGAACGATTGGATGTCTGACAATGAAACAATTTCCAAACTTA